AAAAAACTTGTGAATCCTATTTCAAGTTATTTGATATTAATATTTTTTTGTTATGTAATTTAAATTTTAGGTATACTGTTAATTAAGTAGAGCTTTTTTTTTTTTTTTTTTTTTTTTTTTTTTTTTTTTTTTGTCATTCCTCGGGCCTATAGAATAATAGGACGGAGCCGGCCTACAAAATACTATACTATTGAGAACTAAGGGTGTGTTTGGTTCGCACATACGAATCGGAATCGGAATGTGTATCAAATACTTGGTAATGGTAATGGGTATTAGTGAAAGTATTTTGCATGTGTTGGTAATAGGGTGAATGAGAATGATTATCAATAATGATGTTGTTATGTTGTGAGCACGTGCCCACCTTGCAAAGTGGGCACGGTTCTATATCCATAATTTCTATACTGTAAATTCATAATTTTTATACTGTAGATCCATAATTTCTATACTGTAGATTCATAAAATTTATACTTTAGATTCATAATTTAAATACAATAGATTCATAATTTCTATACTGCAGATTCATAATATCTGTACTATAGATTTATAATTTCTAAACTGTATAATTATCAAATTATGATCATATAATTCTCTGATTTGTGAAAACAGAGTTCAACAATTGGAATCTAAAGTATAAATTTTATGAACATACAGTATAAAAATTATGGATCTACAGTATAGAAATTATAGATATGGAACTGTGTCTACCTTACAAGGTGGGCACGTGCTCATAGCATAAATTGCCTGTATGATCCTATAATGGGAATAAAGATTTTAAAAATATAAGAACACAAAATTAGGACAATTAATTTTAATATAAAGACATCCAAAACACCAATATGAAAAAAAAAAAAAAACAAAAATCTAAAAGCACTAATCAAAAGGATGAAACCCTTATTTTATTTGGATATGAGTTTTTCAATTAAGGGGTATTTGAAACTCATATAGTAATATTCTAAAACTTATCAACCAAACAATACCAATCACTTTGATACTCATTCCTTAGAGCCAGGGCCGGTTTTTAGATTTTTGTGGCCCTATTCGAGTAAATAAATAAGGCCGTACCAAAATTAAAATCTTTAAAACTAATACCGTACGTAATTTTATTATCTAAATATATAACAAAAAAATTATCCGTGCATCGCACGTATATTGCACGCGCACTGCACGGATAATTGGGCAATTATTTGCTCAAATTCAAGCAAGGATAACATAAAAAAACATAATCAATACAACACATTTCATCAATTGCACTATATAATATTCGTTGTTATAATTTAAAGATTATAACAAATCTTTTCCGTGCAACGCACAGGTAAAAATAGATATATCATGGAATAATAATAATAATAATAGTGTGCACAAGTTTTGAACCTTAGACCTCAAAGTTAAAATACAATAAATACATGTTCCTACCATTTCTTTATAAAGCCTTTTAAATTTAAATAAAAACTTTTAATTTTTATTTCTAAACTAACTAAGTAAAAATAAAATATTGAGCTTCTAAAATTTGGGGCCCTGTGCGGTAGCCCAGCTTGCATAGCCCAAAATCCGGGCCTGGCTCTTCTTCCCGCAAACATGTTCCCTTTCTTGTTCTTCTTTCTGTCAGCCCTTTGTTTGCTCCTTTCTGTTCGCCCCATTTCAACAGTCGCAATATCTCAAGCCGGTAACCAAATGCTGCTCATATGTTCATTGGTGCAGGATCCTTCTCGCCCGCTAGGTTCTCCATCCCTCAAATGCACGAGCTTTCCGGCGGGAAGTGTTCGGATTCCTCTAAACCCCTCTGTTTTTTACTCTGGGCTTGTGGGTGGAAATGGTTTCCTCTGTGCTTATACCTTTTCTTTTACTTCACCCTTTTTCCGTCATGGAATGTTGGAGATTTTCAGTAAACGGGGCTGAGGTGGCGTACAAGAGAATCTACAACGGCCCGAAATTGGTTGATCTTGGTTCCGGGAATTCCCACATTTGTGGAATTGTGGACTATTCCGGGGTCCTTCAGTGCTGGCAATGGCCGGAGTTTCGCCAGTCCAACCAGAGTTCCCTCACCACCAATCTCGCATTGAGTCAAAATTTTGTTTGTGGGCTGCGCGATTCAGGCAAAGTTCAGTGCCTGGGGAGTGATTCAAAGGTCACCAAACATGCCCCCAACAGGACTTACGCTGATTTGGCCGCAGGTTCGCCTATGCGTGCGCTATTTCGCGGGATGGGCGGTTGGATTGCTGGTGAGATATGGCTAAAGAAATCCCGGAGGGCGAATTTGTTGGTCTTGCCTTAGGAGACAACAGGGGATGCGCCATAAGATGGTTTAACAAAACCGTAATTTGTTGGGGAGAAAATGATTTTAGCATCCCTCGAGAGTTGGAAGGCAGGCAATTCTTGGCATTGGCTGCAAGAGAAACAGTGTTTTGCGGAGTGCTGGAGGAGAATGCAATGTTGTATTGTTGGGGAAATGCCCTTTTTGGATTTTAATCATAAGGTTTTTCACAAAGTAATTCCTGGGCGGTGCACAGGTGGTTCTTGTCTTTGCGGTAATATACCTTTCCACGGTTGCGGCCAAAATAAAGGAATATGTGCGCCGTGTATTGCTGATACTTTTACTCAAAATGCACCTTCACAACCGCCACCGTCTCCGTCCAGTGGAAAACGCAGTCATTGGGATGCAAAATATGTGGCATTTCTTGTGGTGGGATGCACTGTTTCTTTGATAGTTGTATTAGCTCTTATATGTTACCTATTCCCTAGGTACTGCACCGTTACAGGAGGCTGGTTAGACGAGGAAGAAGCAGAGGTGTTGGAAGAAAGGCCCAGCCAATTGGTAAGTATGGTAAATGTTGGGATTTTAGAAGTGTTTTCTTTACAAGGTCTGCAACGAGTAACAGCTAATTTTTCTGAGGATCATAAAATTGGGAAAGGTAGTTTCGGGTCAGTGTACCCAGGGCCGATTTTTAGATTTTTGTGGCCATGTTCGGGTAGATAAATAAGACCCTACCAAAATTAAAATCTTTAAAATAATACCGTACGTAATTTTATTATCTAAATATATAACAAAAAAATTTATCCGTGCATCGCACGTACATTGCACGCGCACTGCACGGATAATTGGGCAATTATTTGCTCAAATTCAAGCAAGGATAACATAAAAAAACATAATCAATACAACCCATTTCATCAATTGTACTATATAATATTCGTTGTTATAATTTAAAGATTATAACAAATCTTTTCCGTGCAACGCACAGGTAAAAATAGATATATTATGGAATGAGTTAATACCCAAAATCGTCATCGACTATAGTGATTTTTCTCAATTTCGTCCTAAACGACTTTGGTGACCTAATATCGTCCCAGACTTTTGTGTTTCGCTCAATTTAGTCCCAGACTTTTGTGTTTTTGCTCAATTTAGTCCCTCATTTGTTATTCTGTCCATTTGGTGTTAAATAAATAGACAATTCAGTAATTTTAATATTGGCATCTCTTTACTCATAGACATGTGAACTGCGAAATTCTTTTTTTTTTTTTTACGAATTACTCCCAGAATTAATCCTAAAATTGCGAATATAAAATTTGATTTGCAGGTCCAGGAGTAATTCTGAGTGTAATTCGTACAAGAAAGAGGAATTTCGCACTTCACAAGTTGAAAGTAAAGAGAGATCAATATTGACATTACTCAATTGCCCCTTTATTTAACACCAATTTGACGGAATAACAAATGGAGGACTAAATTGAGCGAAACACAAAAGTCTGGGACGATATTAGGTCACCAAAGTCGTTTAGGACGAAATTAAGAAAAACCACTATAGTCGAGGACGATTTTGGGTATTAACTCATTATGGAATAATAATAGTGTGCGCAAGTTTTGAACCTTAGACCTCAAAGTTAAAATACAATAAATACATGTTCCTACCATTTCTTTATAAAGCCTATTAAGTTTTAATAAAAACTTTTTGTTTTTATTTCTAAACTAACTAAGTAAAAATAAAATATTGAGCTTCTAAAATTTGGGGCCCCTCTAAAATTTGGGGCCCTGTGCGGTAGCCCAGCTTGCACAGCCCAAAATCCGGGCCTGCTTAGAGCTAAACGGCAATTTATATCCTACACCACGGCGCGCGTTGCACTATGCGCCCAAATGCAAAACGACATCGTTTTAATTAATTTATTTTTTTTTGAAATTTCCCGCCCCAGTGAATGGCAGTAGTTTTTTCTTTTAAAAAAAAAACCGTTGTTCAAGAATGTACATAATGTTATACTAGAATACACATAACTGTATACATGAATGTACATAATTATATAACAAAATATACATACTCTTTTTAAAAGATAATACACATAATCTAACATAATACATAATAAACATAAACTTTTAATATAATACACATCAACTATTAACATAATACACACAAATTTTCTGATTTGGATGTACATAATTGTATAAAAAGAATGTACATAATTGTATAAAAAATGTACATAACTGTATGAACCAATACACATAACTGTATGAACAAATACACATAATTGTGTGAACAAATACACATAATTCCAGCAACTTTTTACCGCGCCTCCAAAAACAACGTCGTTTTGGGAGGCGCGCGGCGCATAGTGCTATGTGCGTCGTGGTGTAGGGTATAATGATTGGAGCTAAACATGTCAACCAAACATACAATAAGATACTTTTTGCTGGTTCGAGGACATATTTGTGAGAAGAGAACTAAGATACTTTGACCGGAGAAAAACAAGAACAAGTTTGAAGAATGATTCCCTATAGTTTCAAACTCCATTCAATTCTTGCTTGGCCATCAAGTCGTCCGGTCTATGAAGAATATGTACACAGAAAAGTATAGTACGTAGGCGCCGCCTGCGAAATGTCAATCTGCGGACGACGACGGTACATATATAAATTGTGGTGCCGGACTAGCCACGCCAAGGGCTAATGAGGCCCGCACCAGAAGAAAATTCAAACTCCGGGGATCCATTTCAGCTATTTAAATCACATTCACCCTTGTTCTATCAGTTCCATCATTATATTCCATTTCTCCCCAACCATTCCATTTCTCCGAATATTGCATGCGTTGAGTTATGGCGGAGAGGCGGCTTATGCATGCGGTGCAGTATGATAGCTATGGAGGTGGCGCTGTAGCTTTGAAGGTATTGGGTTAGTGGGTTTGACTAGTTAATAGTATTAGCTGATAGCTGATTACATGCAAAATTACTTTCTCAAAAAAAACTGATAAAAAATTGTTTTGAGCAAGTTTTTGAATTTTAGCATTTTCGAGCAATAAGTTATTTCAAAAAGCTAATAAAACAAGCTTTTATATTGATTGATTAACGAAGTTGAACAGCTAATAGTGGTCAAATAAATTAAAATTGACTATGTTACTAAACGGGGCATAGTATTTCCCTCCCCTTTCCTTCATATATATATGATGCTCTGTGATATGATGAATCAAATTTTGATTATGTGAGTATGTATTTCAGCATGTTGAAGTTCCTGTACCCACTCCTGGTAAAGGTGAAGTCTTGCTAAAGATAGAGGCAAGAAGCTTAAACCCATTTGATTGCAGAATTCAAAGTGGCATCATTCCTTTCCTTCCACAAAAATTTCCTTATATACCTGGTTAGTCCACTGCTTTCTGCTTTAATTTGGTCATCATTTCTTACTTTCTAATCTTGTATTCATATATATATAACAATGTTTTCTTTAATTTGGCTGGACACTGGATCAGCAACTGATGTAGCAGGAGAAGTAATGGAGGTTGGTTCTGATGTTACAAATTTCAAGCCGGGGAACAAAGTTGTCGCAGTGCTCAGTGCTCGAGTAAGTCCACTCCTGACGTGACTATTATACCACTTGTTAATTAGCATCAAATGCTTACCATTATGGGCTCCAATACCACTTAGCGTTAACATCAAATGCTTACCATTATGTCAAAAACTATAGCTCAAGGCACAACTTTAATTCCTTATATACCGCCACATTTCTTCAATTCATGTGTACTGTTTGATAATAACAGAATGGGGGTGGACTTGGGGGGTATGCTTTAGCTAAGGAGAACTCAGTTGTTGCAAGGCCACCTGAAGTATCCGCTGCTGAAGCCGCAGGCCTCCCAATAGCCGGTGTTACAGCCTACCTAGCCCTCACCGAAGCTGCGGGGATCAAGCTTGATGGCCCCAAGAAGAACATACTTGTAACCGCTGCCTCTGGTGGTGTGGGTCACTATGCTGTTCAACTAGCAAAGCTTGGGAACCAACACCATGTCACAGCCACCTGTGGGACCCGCAACATCGACTTCGTGAAGAGCTTAGGGGCCGACGAGGTCGTGGACTACACGACCCCGGAAGGGACTGGTCTCAAGAGTCCATCAGGGTTGAAATACGACGTGGTCATTCATTGTGCCAGGGGCATTCCCTGGTCTACTTTTAAGGCTAATTTGAGCAAGAATGGGAAAGTGATAGACCTCACTCCTAACCCAAAAGCCTTCTGCATATTTGCCTGGCACAAACTCACCTTCTCAAAGAAGCAATTGTTGCCGTGCATTATAACCCCCAAGAGCGAGAGCCTGGCGTGGCTTGTTGGGTTGGTGAAGGAGGGGAAGCTTAAGACCACCATTGATTCAACGCATCCTCTAAGCAAAGCAGAAGATGCATGGGCCAAGATGATGAGTGGACATGCTACCGGAAAAATCATTGTGGAGACATAGTTGCAAAGTTTTCAGTTCATATATTTCGTGTTTAATTATGTTGGTCAGGGTTACGTTATATAATTATATTTGTTAATGTTGTAATCGTTTTTGTGAGACTAATTCAAAAGAGTCAACTAGTCAATATATAATTAGTTGTGGCTATTAAAAGCATGAAAGTTGGTGATGGATAGTTTTTATAAATAAATATAATATATGTGGACATTACAGTCATTACTAAAGACTTTTTATAAATTTTGTAGAGATGTTAAACCTATTTTGACTGGCCAGTCATGGACCAGGCACAAAATATAGTTCAGGCCAAGTTACGTAATATGTAACATAGCCCACCACATGGTCGACGGTCGGGCTAAATGGGCTAGCTTACCTTTTTTTTTTTTTTTTTTTTTTTTGAAAGCCAAAGGCTTTGGCATATTTTAATAATTAATGAAAGGAGCCAAACAATCAGGGGGACATAGTCCCAGTACATAGAGTGATCCTGATTAAAAGCTAACGTAGTTAAAGTATGAACACTAACATTAACTAATTTAGAAATAACATTCAAAGAGCAATAAGAAAAAAGGGCCACAGCTGCCCGGCATTAATGGTCCTCCACCCCTACACAGGATAAGATGGTCGTAGGACTAGATAATAAATGGTGTCGGAGTTTTGCGCAATCAGTCAGCAAATCCACATCCAACTCGTTACGCTCCTTACATGGGCTAGCTTACTTATTATTATTATATAATAATAGTTAAAACCCATTTTGGTCCCTCGACTATTAGATAAAATGACGTTTTTGCCTCTCTTAGTCTCTCTATAACGGTGGATGAATGGAAATTGTAACAGAGGATCTAATTGGGTATGATTTTACAAGTTAGATGATTAAATTGAGAACTTTTAATATTATGGGACTAAATTGCGCATTACCTAATAGTCGAGGAACTAAAATGGATATTAACTCTAAATATAAATTATAAATGTTGGTTTTACGGCCTAGAGAAGCCGATCGACGGGCCAACACTACCATAAAATATTAGGTTTAAAGAAGTAAAGTCTTTAGTGGAGAAAAATGCGGAGTAACATGACTTTTATTGAGAAATTCAACCCTCTACAAGGTGACCCCGTGTGGTGTATTTATACAAGGAGATAGATCCTCTATAAGGTAATGAATGGGAAAAAAAAAAACCTAAAAATAGCTTTAGAATCTGCCATAATTAGTGCGGTAACTGCCTACAAATGAGAAAAAGAAACTGCTTGTTGCTCAAGGAAAGAATCTCCGTAGATAATTAAGAATACTTAGAAAAATCCAAACCAAAAGTAATATTTATTTATACTATCATTTTTAGACCAAGTATTTTTTTATTTTACAAAGTTGCAAACATTTATTTTAGTGACAATTATAATGAATTTTCTATATTATTTTGCATTCATATACTTTAAGTTACATATTTAAATAAACAAATTTGACATTCAATTACCTATATATGAACTTCTCCTATATAAGCTTGCATTGATATACTTTTAAATATTTATTTAAATATAAATATTAGGCATTAACCATTCGAACAATGCGCGTATAAAACTAGTATTAGTATAATTGACTAATAATAATTACCTAATAATATGATAATTAAGCTAAACATTGGTAGTTAGATTTATTTTTATAATAATTACAATTAAATTATTTCTCAAATTACATAAATCATATTATATATCAATCTTTTTATCTAATAATTATTATGATAATTGAATGATGCTTTTGCACTAATCTTATAGTCAAATAAACGTACACGTTTAATTTTTTATAATTTTATCTTTAATTTTATTATCTAAATATATAATAAAAAATTTATCCGTGCATCGCACTGGTAATTGGACAATTATTTGCTCAAATTTAAATAAGGATAATAACATCATAAAATACAATGGATCCCACCAATTTCATCAATTGCACTATATACACCAAATTTATCAATTGCATTATATAATATTCGACGTTATAATTTATATAATTGTATATTGTTAAATATTCTTGAAATATTATAACAAAATCTATTCTATGAATCACATAGGTAAAAATACTAGTTGTATACTAATACTAGTTGCAAATAATACGGAGTAATATTATTTTGCTAGTAACAGCCAACGGGTGAAATCACATTTGTACGAAGCTGGAGCTTCCTGACCGTCGATACTCGATACAACTGCTAGCTTCTAAACCCCACTGGAACTCTCCAGAACATCAAACCCCATCTTTATAACCCTCACTTTCAACCCAAGTCTTACCTGCGACTGACGAGTGACGACGCCAATTGAAATCCGCAATTTTCTGATTCTTCCCTGTGTTTCTGGATTATGGAGGATTTTGATATGCCGCCCGCCGAGATGGATGACTTGGATCTGCCCGATGACAATCCGGTAATGAAGGTCGGAGAGGAAAAGGAGATCGGAGACCAAGGCTTGAAGAAGAAGCTTGTTAAAGAAGGCGCAGGCTGGGAGACTCCTGAGCCTGGCGACGAAGTGGAAGGTATTATTATAACACGGCTTGTTCTTTAGCGACTGTAATTTTTGCTGGTATTCATTGAATGTTTGGATTGATTTTCAGTTCATTACACTGGGACGCTGCTCGACGGAACTAAGTTTGATTCGAGTAGAGATAGGGGGACTCCGTTTAAGTTCACTCTTGGTCAAGGTCAGTAAAGGTTCCTCAACTATTCTTTCTAGTTACCACATTTCCGAAGAGATTGCATATTTTCCGAATTTATTTAACTCTGTCTGTGTAGCATGCTGTTAGCTTTTTTAGACTAAGATGTGATGTTGGAAATTTTAAACATTTATGATAAACTTGCGGATTTGATGTGGTAACTTGTTTCTCTTCTGTTCCTGTGTGTTTGTCATATGGTGATCGTGACTGAAGTAATGGGGATGCAATTTGTCTTCCTTGATTAATGATTCCAGGATTGGTGCTATTTTTAATCTAAAGTCCTTGATTAATGATTCCAGGATTTGTGCTATTTTTAATCTAAAGCATCCCTTTTCTGAAAATCTGAAGCATTAGATAGTAGAATATTCAATTGTTTGCTTAAACTTTTGTTAAAAATTGTTTATTGAGGCTCCCCTTAAGTTTGTGAGATGAGTAAAAGGTCTGCAAGTGAAAAGTGGCACTTGTATGGATAGGAATGTTTGGGGGTTAAGAATGAATAGGTGTATGTACTTAATTGGATGGGGTATATTTATTTCAATCTGCAAACTCAAGCTTCATGACAAAATTTATGTCTTTAACAGTTGAATGCCTTTCCCTTATTTCCTATCACTCTCCTTTAGTGTGTGAGGTTTGGTTTCCCATTTATGTTTGTCTTTGATAAATGAGGACTAGGCACTATTTTTGTTTTGTAACCTTTTCATCCGAAGATGATATTGATTTGGATTAGTGATCATTTTTTTCTTTCTTGAATAGGTCAAGTAATAAAGGGATGGGATCAAGGTATCAAAACAATGAAGAAGGGTGAATGTTGTATCTTCACTATTCCTCCAGATCTTGCCTATGGTGAGTCTGGTTCCCCCCCTACCATTCCTCCAAATGCAACTCTCCAGTTTGATGTGGAATTGCTGTCCTGGGTAAGTGTTAAGGACATCTGCAAGGATGGTGGAATTTTTAAGAAGGTTCTTGCTGAGGGAGAGAAATGGGAAAATCCTAAGGACCCTGATGAGGTTTCAGGTGTGCAGTCAATTTTATTTGTGATGAACTGTGCCTCATTTGTTTTGCTTCCTTATTTCCTGAGAAGTGACACACAAATTTTTAAAATTATTATTACTCAGTCAAGTATGAGGCCCGACTTGAAGATGGAACATTAGTTGCCAAATCAGATATAGTGGAGTTCACTGTTGAAGAAGGTATGTCTTGAGGTTATTTTGTGAGTTTGAGTAGATATAGATTCATACAGCATATATGTATTTATAAAAGCAAACTATTTTCTCTGGTAACAACAAATATTTTTGAACAGGTCATTTTTGCCCTGCACTTACCAAGGCTGTTAAAACCATGAAGAAAGGAGAGAAAGTGCAGTTAACCGTGAAGCCTCAATGTAAGCAGTTTGTATCACGCATATGCATTGGATTGCTTTTGATATTTACTTATACATTGTTGCTACATTGTTGCTGATGCAGATGGGTTTGGTGAGAAGGGAAAGCCAGCCTCTGGTGATGTAGGAGCTGTTCCCCCTAATGCAACACTACTAATTGATTTGGAGTTAGTTTCATGGAAGACTGTGACGAATGTCACCGATGATAGGAAAGTAATAAAAAAGATCCTGAAGGAAGGGGAAGGATATGAACGTCCCAATGAAGGAGCTGTTGTGAAGTGTTAGTATTAATGAAATGAAAATGGCATGTATATTTGTGACCTATTCGGTGTGTAATTACATCTTACCTTCTGCTGGCAGTGAAATTAATTGGGAAGCTGCAGGATGGCACAATCTTTATCAACAAAGGTCATGATGGAGATAATGAAGATGGACTATTTGAGTTCAAGACGGACGAGGGTGTGTACCATTGCTAATAAGAGTTCTTGCTTTAGACATGCTTTCCTTATAATTGCACCATCTTAGTTTGCTTATTTTCTTACCAAACTTTGTTTTGCTTTGAACAGAGCAAGTTATTGATGGGTTGGACAGGGCTGTGCTAACAATGAAGAAGGGTGAAGTCGCATTGTTGATTGTTGCACCAGAGTATGCTTTTGGTTCATCCGAGTCAAAGCAGGAGTTAGCTGTGGTTCCTCCCAATTCCACTGTGTCTTATGAAATTGAACTTGTTTCTTTTGTCAAGGTATACTAAATGATTTCCTTTTCTTAATTTTTTAAAATTTATTTTTAGTGGGCAAATTAGGATTCATCTTCTAATTGATGCTACATGGTGGCTTTTAGGAAAGAGAATCATGGGATATGAACACCCAGGAGAAGATTGAGGCTGCAGGCAAAAAGAAGGAAGAAGGAAATGTACTTTTCAAGGCAGGCAAATACGCAAGAGCTTCGAAGAGATACGAGAAGGTAGGTGCCTTCTTTTTCTTTTTGTGCTGCCATTGTGATAGGATGACACTGTGTACTCAGTCGTTTTGTTGTGAT